CTGGGAGCCCCAGGGGGTGTCCTCCAGGCTGGGGGATGTCCTCCAGGCTGGGGGTGGGGAATCCCTGGGGGCATCCTCTAGGCTGGGGGAGGGTCCTGGGGGGATCCTCCAGGCAGGTGAGGGGTATCTGTGGAGGGGTGCTTTCGTCCCTGGTGTGCAGATGAGTTCAAGGCCGACATCCTCCAGGTGGGTGGACCTTTGCATTGTCTGCATCCAGCCCAATGCCAGCGCTCACCAGTACTGTCCGTGTGCCCAGCACGTTGCCAGGCAGTAACCAGCCTGATATGTCGTTCATTTTGAGTGCAACAGAATGCCTTGGTTGTGCGCGTCTTTTTGGAGGAAATGTTTTCAGTTGGCTAGCTTGGTTGCTCCTGGTGGGAATCAGATGAAAACAAACGTTCGCAGTGGCACGGGCCAGGCCCACCGAGCTGCACCCTGGTTTGTGGTCCGTGCTGACCTCGAGCGTCTTCCTTTTCTAATCTCAGTCTTGGGTTTAAGTAAGTCTTGGGTTGTTCCATCTCAGTTACTCTTACTGGCTATTGTCCACTGGTCTCTGGCATAAACAGTGGAAATTCAAATAATAAAAGTGGCTCCCGGTCAATACGTCAGAGTTCACTTTGGTCACTTTACTGTCTGTGTTCTGTTAAAAATCCTTTCCCTGCCTACAGTTGGCCAAGTTCATTGCCTGTTTATGATACGTGTTAATGCTTTTTATTGGTAGGTGATGACATGGGGATGGAAAGAAGCTGGCAGATCAGTAGTTTTGCCAGTGTTTACAAAATAAAGAGGGTCAAAGGATGAGGAATGTGCACAGAGCAGCTCCTTGGACCAGAAGGCGGTCCATGTTGACACAGACCCCAGCAGGATCCATTTCAAGCCCCGAGTAGCAGCTGTCATCGTCCTCGCAGGACCCTTGCTGGGCGGGACCTGTGACCGTGGCGTTCGCTCCGACTCGTGGCGACCTCACATGTTAGAGTACAGCCGTGCTCCATAGGGTTTTCGGTGGCTGATGGTTTGGGGGTGGAGGACCAGGTCTTTTCTCCGGCCAGCCTTGCAGTGAGCAGCCACGGCCTAACTGTCAGCACCCCCAGGGGCCCTGGGTTCTCTCGAGCTTTCGGCTAGAGGGTGTTTCTTGGTGGCTCTGTGCTGAGCTGGGGTTTGTGGGAGTGAGGGGGCAGACACCCTGGCGGGCGCGCTGCTGCCAAGATGCGCCTGGCTCCGGGGGGGCGCTCCGAGCTGTCTGCCCGCCCCGTCTGTGTGGATTCTCCACCCCCACTCTCTGCCGTGATCTACTCGTTCATCCCTGGAGTCCTTAGTGCTCACGGTCAGGAGACTGGGCGGGATCACTCCCGATTTTCTCCTTTATTCCTGCCCAGTCTCTTCAGTGATCTTGACTGAAGATGTTCTCTCTTCTGAGTCCCGTCTGCGTTTCTCCTTCAGCAGACATCTTCCCTTGTGCTTTTCCTGATTGTTGCCTTTGGTACTGGTGACTCTCCTCAAATGCTGGGGCAGCCTTTGTTGTCGTGTGCATTTCCGATGCAGGGAAAGACCGCAGTTGCTGCATTACCTGGGCAGCCGTTGGCACCTGGAGGCCTTGCCGGCTGCCTCGTGGGCTGTGGGCGGCAGGACGCAGAGGCCTTCTTTACTGGAGGCCAACAGGTCACTGGCTGCCTCCTTCTCCCAGACACTTCAGTCACTCTCTTTAGAACGAAGCCCTCAGTGCTTTCTGGGGACCAGGGAGCCCTGGGGTGCTGAATGCCTGGGATCAGGCACCGGGGCTGCGGGTCACCCTGGCTTGCGTCCTTGGCTCTGGGGTCTCGGGCTGGGGAGCCTCCCCTCTCTACCTTCCTGGCCGTTCGGGAAGAGCTCGGGTCCCCTCGTGATGAACACCGGCCAAACCGCCTTTGTGCACCTTCCACTTTGTACAGCTCATTGGGGAGGTTTCCGCAGGAATCGGGTGGTGCGCCCTGGTGGCTATGGAGTGCTCTGGCCTCTGCGATGAGCAGGAGAAATGCTATTGTCCTTGGTGGAGGAAGGAGCCTGAAAATAAATACAGTTGAGACCCCTGACCCTGGCGTTCAGGAGCCGCCGCTCCCCTTGCTTGGCTGGACAGGATCAAGCCCTGGTGGGCGGGGTAGGTCCTGGCAGTGCTCTGGGCAGCGGGGTCCAAACAGGAGCGTGAAGGGCCCAGGTGGTGCTGATGAGGACGAAGGCTCAGTGAAGGAGACCCCGAGGTGGAGCGGCACTCGGGGGTGAGGGAGGCTGCCACACCCGGCTCTTTTGGCTCCACAGGCAGGCGTGTCGTCCATGTCTGTACCTCTGCTGCACGGACACCTGGCCGGGTCCCGCCCGGGCCCCCGTCCCCTGTGCCCTGCTCCAGTGGCCATCTCTGAGATGATGGCAGTAGAAGGAGTAGCATCCGAGCCCTCACACCATCAGGGATGATGTCAGTCAGGGTCCATCCACCTGGTTCTGGTCCTGGCCAGCCCTCCCCGACCCCTCTGCTTGTCTGCTCGGCTCCACAATCCAGTGCGGTACCCCTAGATCTCCCAGACTATTCTCAGGGTTCCAGGGTTTAGTAAGGATGTACTCACTCTAAGATCACTGCCATAGAGTTGGATCCAACTCATAGCGACCCGCTATCACTACGGAAGTAGATTGCCCAGTCTTCCTTCCGAGGAGTGGCTGGTGGGTTTGAACCGCCAGCCTTCTGGTTAGCAGTCAAGTGCCTTAGGCACTAGGCACCAGAGCTCCTAGTAAGGTTGTAGCGGGGAACAATTCAGGGCCTGGAGTCAGGAACAAACCCCCTAGGGTAGGAAACTCAGGCAAGGGTGAGTCCTCAGGGCTCAGGGGAAATCTCTCAAGCTGTTTTTCCAAAGAACCAAGACAAAGGCCACGTGAATGAACTCACCTCGCCACCCCTTCTCTGCCCATTCTCCCCACTCAAGTCCTGGGACACATGGCTTCCTGTCTGCAGCTTCTTCCTTCCTCCACTTTCCATCCTGAGGGTCACAGCTCACCTGGCCCCTCTGAGAGGGGCCCTGCCTGCCTTCAGGACCACAGTGACAGTCACACAAGGAGCACCATCTCCCAGCCCACAGCTGGCCTTCCTCGTGGGTGAGGGGCTCCTTGAGCATCACTGTCTGCCCAGGGCTGGCAGTCCTGGCAAGCCCCGGTCACGGATGTGTCACTGTTTCTTGGTGTGAGGCAGTTGGCAGGGTGTTGGTCCATTTAATCCCTCCGCCAGTGTCTGACTGCTGTACACAGTGGCGACAGAGATGCATGTCGCAACTCGCCCGGCCTCTCCCCTGGCTGTGCCTCCTGCGTCTCGGCCCCCCTTACAGCTAGTACAGAAGATGCTGGTCTTACCTGGCCGCCCCCTTACCCACCCCCTGTTAGCAGTTGAAGGCTTGGGAGGGAAACAGAGTGATTTCTCTGTGTCCCGTGTTTGGGGCCCCTCTGTGCTGTGGGAAGAGGGCAGCCAAGGAACCCCACGTGCTGTCAGCAGGCTCACCCCGGGGCCCAGCCGCGGCTCCTGTCCTTCACAGCCCCCCCACAGCCGCCTCCGGGAGCCGCTCTGCACCCAATTAATTTGGCAATTAGTTGCGTTTCATCTCCTTGTCCTTCTGCTGCTGCTGTTGCCTCTTGGAGTCACATCTTTGCTGTGAGCCTGTCGGTGCCTCTCAGAAGGGTTTGCTCAGGACCGATTCATCAGCCAGCTTGGTGAACAGATAGACTTTCAAATATGCTCCCCTCAGTCGTCTTCTGAGGGCGTCTACTCTGCTTCAGGTACATTTGATCTCTCACGGATTTGCGTGACAGATAAAAAGGAACAAAGAACAGAAAACAGCTCTGCCCCAAATTCCCGAATCTAGCGCACTGTTCACAGTCCTCACAACGCCGGAGTCTTCCCTAAGTGAGTCTTTGAGTTTAGACTTTCCTTCTGACTTCACCCGTTTTGAGTATCTGCAGACTGTTTGCAAGGTTTCGACTGCAGGTCCCTTCTGCACCATGGGGTACGGCAGAGGGTCAGGGTTCCCAGCAGGACTCCTGCTTGGCCCAGTGTGCTCGCCAGGGGCATTTCCGCACACACGCACGCCTGTACACATTCACACGCTTACACACACACATTCACTCACATACATGCACTCACTCACACTCAGTCTACCTACTTACTCTAACACACTCACTGACACAGTCTCACATACTGACATGCGTGTGCAGGGTCACACCCATGCATACTGTCACACACACACTTGGTCACACGCTCATACACACTCACGCTTACGCTCTTAGACACTCTCTCACACTCGTTCACTCACACACACACCTGCCTCCACCAAAGGCAGGGAGGCTTCAGCCCACCCCACCCTCCTCATTCAAGCGCAGTAGAGCAGCTGGCTAACGTACGTTGAGGAGACGCTGACCAGAGGGAGTGACCGTTCCATGTCAGGGACAGATGAGGCCGTGGATGTTGAGGGCCTGCCATGACCTTAACCCTAACGAGGCGTCCCAGCCAGCTGCTGCCCCTCCAACCACTCCCGTGGAAGGTTTAATGCCATGCGAGGGTGCTTTAGTGCTTCCGGGATGTTTGCAGCCAAACAGATGTGTCCTCTGCCTGTAGGGGGCGGTGGTGCGAT